GAAGAGAGGAAAGAGAAAAAAGAGATGAGAGCGAGAGGAAAGAGAAAAAGGAGAGATGAGAGCGAGAAAAAGGAGATGAGAGAGGAAAGAGAAAAAGGAGATGAGAGCGAGAGGAAAGAGAAAAAGAGAGAAGAGAGAGAGAAGAAAGAGAAAAAGGAGATGAGAGCGAGAGGAAAGAGAAAAAGAGAAGAGAAAGAGAGGAAAGAGAAAAAAGGAGATGAGAGCGAGAGGAAAGAGAAAAAGGAGAGATGAGAGGAAAGAGAAAAAGAAGAGATGAGAGGAAAGAGAAAAAGGAGATGAGAGAGAGAGGAAAGAGAAAAGAGAGATGAGAGCGAGAGGAAAGAGAAAAAGGAGAGATGAGAGGAAGAGAAAAAGGAAAGAGAGCAGAGGAAGAGAAAAAAGGAGAGATGAGAGGAAAGAGAAAAAGGAGATGAGAGCTAGAGGAAAGAGAAAAAGGAGAGATGAGAGGAAAGAGAAAAAGGAGATGAGAGCGAGAGGAAAGAGAAAAAGGAGAGATGAGAGCGAGAAAAAGGAGAGATGAGAGCGAAAGGAAAGAGAAAAAGAAAAGAGAGTGAGAGGAAAGAGAAAAAGGAGAAAGGGAGAGAGGAAGATAGAAAGGTAAAAGGGTAGAGGAACAGAGAGAGGAGGAACGAATGAAAAAAAAAGAGAGAGAGAGAGAGAGGAAGAAGGAAAGAGAAAAAGGAGAGATGAGCACGAGAGGAAAGAAAAGGAGAGATGAGAGTGAGAGGAAAGAGAAAAAGGAGAAAGGGAGAGAGGAAGATAGAAAGGTAAAAGGGTAGAGGAACAGAGAGAGGAGGAATGAATGAAAAAAAAAGAGAGAGAGAGAGAGAGAGAGAGAGGAAGAAGGAAAGAGAAAAAGGAGAGATGAGAGGAAAGAGAAAAAGGAGAGATGAGAGCGAAAGAGAAAAGGAGAGATGAGAGGAAAGAGAAAAAGGAGAAAGGGAGAAGAGGAAGATAGAGAGGTAAAAGGGTAGAGGAACAGAGAGAGGAGGGATGATTGAAAAAAGAAAGAGAGAGGAGGGAAAAGGGAAGAGAGGGGTAGAGTTGAGAGGGAAAGAGAGAGAGTAAAAGAAAGAGAAAAAAAGAGGAATATAAAGAGGAGGGGAGAGATGAGAGAGAAAAGGACAAACACAGAACAAAAGAGAGAAAGAAAGAAAGAAAAAGAGAGAAAGGTAATAGAGGAAGAGAGAAAAAGCAAAAGAGAGAGAAAGAGAAAAGGAGAAAGAGGAAGAAAGGTAACAGGATGAGAGAGGGGGAAGAGATGAGAAAGAAAAAAAGAGAGAGAAGAGTGTGATGAAGAGAGAGAGAAAGATAATAGGGAGTGTGAAGAAAGACAGAGAGAGGAGGGAGATGAGAGAGAGAGAGCAAAAGAAAGAAAAGGAGAGAGAGTAAGAAAGGCAACAGGATGAGAGAGGAACAGAGAGAGGAGGGATAAATGAAAGAGAAAGAAAGAGAGATGAGAGGGGCAGAGATATGAGAGAGTGAGCAAAAGAAAGAGAAAAACGAGAGGAACAGAGAGAGAGTAAGGGAGGGAGAGAGAGAAAGACAAACAAGGAGGGAGAGGAGGAGGAGAAGAAAAAAGAGGAAGAAATGTGATAGAAAGAGATGAAAGAGAGGAAGGGAGAGAGAAAGAGTTAAGAAGAGAAACAGAGAGGAAGGAAAAATGAGAGAGAGAAAGACAAACAAGGAGGGAAAGGAGGAGGAGAAAGAAAAAAAGAGGAAGAAAGGTAATAGGATGAGAAGAACAGAGAGAGGAGGAGAGATGAGAAAGAAAAAAAAGAGAGGAGGTAAGAGACTGAGAGAAGAGCAAACAGAGAGAGAGGAGAGGTGGAGAGATGAAAGAGGACGAGAGAGTTAAGAAGAGAAAGAAGAGAGGAAGGAAAGATGGCAATGGGTGAGAGAGGGGAGAGAGACGGAAAGAAAGAGTCAGAGAGAGAGAGAAAGCAAAAGGAAGAGAGAGAGAGAGACGAAGAAAGAGACAAAAGGAACGAGAGGAAGAACGGTAACGGGATGAGAGAAGAAGAAGAGTTAAGACGAGAAAACAGAGAGAAAAAAGATAAATAAAGACAGAGAAAAAATGGCCAAAGGGTGAGAGAGAGATGAAAGAGAGAAAAGGAGAGAGAGGAAAAACGGTAACGGGGTAAGAGAGGAACAGAGAGAGGAGGAAGAGATGAAAAAGAGGATGAGAGAAAGAAAGAAATAAGAAGAGAAACGCAGAGAGGAAGGAAAAATGAGAAAGAAAAAGACAAACAAAGAGGGAGAGGAGGAGGAGGAGAAGAAAGAGAGGAATGACGTGAGAGACAAACAAAGAGAAAGAGGAAGGGAGAGAGAAAGCGGAGAGTTAAGAAGAGAAAAAGGAAAAGGAAGGGAAAATGAGAATGAGAAAGAAAAAGAAAGATGAAGAAAAGGGTGGGAGAGGAATAGAGAGACAGAGAGAAAGAAAGGGAGCGAGAGGAAGAACGGTAACAGGATGAGAGAGGAACAGAGAGAGGAGGAAGAGATGAGAAAGAAAAAAAAGAGAAAAGAGGTAACGGGTTGAAAAAGGAACAAAGAGGAGAGAAAGACAAAATGTCCAAAGGGTGAGAGAGAGGGAGAGATGAAAGAGAGAGACAGAGAGAGAGAAAAGGAGATGAGAAAGAAAAAAAGAGGTTGAGAGAAGAGCAAAGAGAGAGAGGAGAGAAACACAGAGAGGAAGGAAAGATGAGAAAGAGGGAGAGGAGGAGAAGAAGGAGAGAGAGGAAGAATGGCAACAGGATGACGGAGGAACAGAGAAAGAAGTAAGAGATGAAAAAGAAAAAAGAGAGAGAAAGGAGGTAAGAGGTTGAGAGAGAAACAAAGAGAAAGAGGAGAGGGGGAGTGAAAGAGTTAAGAAGAGAAAAAGCAAGAGGAAGGGAAAATGAGAATGAGAAAGAAAAAGAAAGACAAAGAAAAGGGTGAGAGAGAAACAGAGAGACAGAGAGGGGAGAGATGAAAGAAAGAGAGAAAGAAAGAAACAAAGAAAGAGACAGAAAGAAAGAACAAAAGAGAGAAAGAGAGGAAGAAAGAGAAAGAGAGAGAAAGAAAGGAAGAACAAAAGAGAGAAAGAGAAAGAAAGAATGAAAGAGAAAAAGAGAGAGAGAAAGAAAGGAAGAACGAAAGAGAGAAAGGGAAAGAAAGAGAGAAAGCGAAAGAAAGAAAGAGGAAGAAAGAAAGGAAGAAAAAGAGAGAAAGAAAGAGCGACAGAGAGAAAGAAAGAAAGAGAAAAAGAAAAAAGAAAGAAAGAAAGAAAGGGAGCAAGAAAGACAGAGAAGAAAGAAAGAGAAAGAAAGAACGAAAGAGAGAAAGAAAGAAAGAAAGAAAGAAAGAGAAGGAAAGAAAGAATGGAAGAAAGAGAAAGAAAGAACGAAAGAGAGAAAGAGAAAGAAAGAAAGAAAGAGAAAGAAAGAATGGAAGAAAGAAATAACGAAAAAGAGAAAGAAAGAAAGAAAGAAAGAAAGAGGAAGAACGGTAACAGGATGATAGAGGAACAGAGAGATGAGAAAGAAAAAAGAGAGAAAGAAGGTGAGAGGTTGAGAAAGGAACAAAGAGGAGAGATGAGAAAGAGAACGAGAGAGAGAGAGAGAAAGAGCTAGAAGAGTTAAAAGGAGAAACAGAAAGAGGAAGAGAAAATGGCCACAGGGTGAGAGACACAGAGAGATGAAAGCGAGAGACAGCGAGAAAGAAAGCGAAAAGGAGAGAGAGGAGAGAGATTAGAAAGCGAGAGAAGGAGGAAAGAAAGAAAGAAAGAAAGAAAGGGCTTTGTACAGTTTTTTTCAATAGCGAACCACTTTTCAAAAGCCTCTTGTTTCGGACGCACAATCACCAGACAACCGCCGCCGCCGCTTTTTACTCGCGCCGGAGAAACATCTGCTCCGGAAAAAAAAAAAAACATCACGAGCAAAGCTATGCATGCTGAAGGGGAGAAGCCATGGACCGATGAGCAGCGCGGCTATTGATCGAGGATGTAAAAGATTAGCATGCTAGTTAAATCCACACACACTCACACACGCACAAAAACACACAAACACACACACACACAGACGCACAACTCGCAATTTCTCCGCACAGATGAGAGGAAATGAAATGAAGTGAATAGTAAAAGACCAAAGCAAACCATCCATGTAGTCGGTCAACCCTCGGGCGCCCGCCGTGACCGCGACTTGGAGCGTTGCCGTGGCAGCGAGGAAAAAAAAAAAAAAAAAAAAAAAAGAAAAACACCACCCATCCCATCCCTCCCCCCGCGCAGAACGAAATGGCACAGATAAGACAGCGGCGGAAAGAAAGATAGTGGAAGTGTCTCTTTTCACGACCAAAAAAAAATATAAAATTACGTGCGCTTTTCGTTCTAAAAATTGCGTCTAAAAAGCGGTTCGATTATCCAATTTTGTAATTTTCAATACAGGCCAAATCTGGTTGGTAATTGGACCAAAAACTAGCAATTTGAATATTAAATTTGAGCTTTTTCAAGACTAATATCCTTGGGTTGAGAGAAAAATGAGTGCTGTTGCCATGGCGATTGGCTACTGAAAACGAAAAGCGCTCTCAAAACGGAGACGACAAACAAGAAACCAATGAGCGCACGTCGTCGTTTTTTCAAATTTGGGTCGAAAACGTGGTTCGTAATCGAATGCAAGTGCGTTATTTTCAATTGGGGATTTGGAATTTTGTTTGAAGGAGAGAAATTTCAAAATATTTACTAGAGTTTGGTCCAAAAACACGTCACGTCTCGTTTGCTTACAGCCCCAATTGCAACCCTAAAATTTACAATAAAATCAACTGACCTTTTGCAGTGCTTAGAGAGACAACTTCCAGCCCGTCAGGTGAAAATGAAAATTGGAAATCGGGGGGAAATTTTAGGGAAAAGTGTCGGATTTTGTGGATTTTTTTTTTTTTTTTTTTGGTGAGGAAGAGGTGATGGTAGTAGCAGTGGACAACAGGTTAAAAGTAGAGTTAAAAGTAGCCCATACCTTGATCGCCAATCATCAGGTGTGCCAGACCTTAAAGGAAGACAAGAGCACAGTCAGCACAGCAAGGAACCATGGGTAGTGTAGTTTTTGTATGTGTAATTTTTTAACAGTACTTTCTCAATGACATGCTTGCTTTTTTTTTTTTTTTTTTTAAATATGTGCATGTATAGGAAAACCTGGGCAACTTACTCATCCGTATAGGAAATGGTCCCGAAACATTTATATTTTTTTATTTTTCTAGCAGGTTAAATAGATGAATATGTGTGATTTTATTTTATACTTACCAAATTTCAGCAACCAAATTAACAAACGAAACAGACCGGCATCAATAACCAAAACTATCATCGCAGAACGGATTTTTACGTCATTTTTTTAAGCATTTCTTAGCGATTTTTTACACGAAATATGTGAAATACAATGGGTAATAATGTAATATAGCATTTTTTATTTTTTTTTTTAGCGTATAAATATATAGTGAGAGAGAAAGGGACCTACCTGGGGTGTAGATGTGCTCTGAAGGGGGGGCGAGCCGGAGCCGAGTGAGGAGAAGAGAGAGACAGACATTCGTTAACATGCATGCTCAGCCCTGCGCTTTTTTTTCCAACGGATTACTTACTGTACATGCACAACCGTCCGCGTTACCAAGGAGACAGACATGCAAAAGACACGATGGAGAAATAAAAAGTAAAAAAAAAATTAAAAATAATAATAATAAAAATAATAATAATATAAAAGCATGCGGAAAAACAAAACAAAACACTACATTCATACGGCAGTGTTAATAATGGACAGTCTGTCTATGGGGAAAAGACCAGAGGGATGCAACGGTACAGAGTCATTTAAAAGAAAGTAATTAAAGGTGTACTACGTAACATTCCGGTGGAGTTTCCTTCATCTGTTTGCCTCCTGTTAATAATGATTTTTCTGGAATGTTCCGCAGTATGGCATTTAATTTATCTGTATGTAGTCAATTGCAGTAAAGATATTTTCGTCTTCGTCTTTTTTTTTTTTTTTTTGGACAAAATATTAGGGATGTAACGATAGCCAAATCCCTTGATACAATATTTTCACGATATGCATGTCACGGTTACGATATTGATTGCGATATTTTGTGGAGACGTTTTACACTACGTACGTTTACACTAAAACGAATCACCGTATTGGAAACGATTTGCATCATTTCTGTGTTCGCAATCCTTCCCTGTCCACACAGCTTTGCCCATATTTGTTTACGTTTTACAGAAACTAAACTTAAAACCACATGGCTAATTTGCATAAACGGAGCTCAAAAAACAACTCGTTCCTTGTGCCTTTACGCGGTCAGCTTCTGTCGGACTAAAGGACACAACTCAATGGAATATGAGTGTTCTTTCTGTGACAGAGGGATGTTCTACTAAGTGTCTGAAGTTGCAGCAGTCGATTTCAAGTCGAGGAAGATGACAAGCGTGAAAACTGTCTTTTCGTGAACAGGGTACTAGTAAGTGGTTCTAGCAACACTGTTTCCCGTTTGTCTACGGTTTGTTTAAACTGTTTTCCGCAATAGCGTCACATGACCGATGTCACAGACCCAGCGAATCAGGAAGGTGCAAGTCACAGTGACGTGGTCCAATAAGGACGCAACTAGAGCTCCTACATCAGTGTATCAGCATTTTTCAGGCGTCCACACAGTGCCGGATCAGATCTGTACTCAGATGAATTTGTGGGAGCTTGCGGCACCAGATCGTTCCATCTGTGGAGTTATTTTCCATTGAATTAGTGTGGACAAATACTACATCCGCAACAAATTTGACTCAAATAAGTACTAGTGTGGACGGGGCCTAACTGCATTGTGAATATGCTGCTTTTAAAGCTTTTACTTTTACCTTGCCAAGCCTTTGGTTCTGTCATCTGTATAACATAATTTCTTCAAGCTGTTAGCGCCGAAATGGAGCAAAGGATCATGGTTCATGTAGTTCCAACTGTTTTTTAAGCTATTCCTTTACCAAAACTAAGAATTTAAGCAATGAAACTTCGATATACTGTGATCCTCCACGATATTATTACGAAATGATATCACAATATTTTAGTTATTGTTAAATTTGTTAATCCCTACAAAATATGCAGTGAAATATTTTGTAAATGGGACACCCAAGCCTTTGTTTACAAATGGGGCCCATTTAGTGACGTTTAATGCCATACTGTGGAACATTCCAGGCAAAGCAATAACATCTAAATGGAGACAAGCAGGTCACAGTTACGATAATTTGTGCAATGGAGAGTATGTAGGAATATTTTTAATATTCCAAAAACTTTACAAATATCAAGTAAACTCCCCTTTGGCATGTTCAAATGAAATATTAATTTTACTTTAACAATTGTAATGTTGATTTATTAACAGGTTATAGATATTAACATGTTTACGTTACATTTACAGACTAATTTAACTGTTTATATCAATCCTCTATCAGTAACTTTAGTTCAAGTCTTTTTTGTGTTATTTTAAATCTGTATTCTTGTACCATTGCACCCCTGACAGACAGTGACTCCACCCGTACACAGGGGGCGCAAAGGGGCTGATAACTCCTACCTGCACGTTAGGATTCAAGCGTCGTTCACCCCAAAACTTACCTTCAAGCCTCTTCCTTTCCTCTCCCCCGAGCCCCCCAAAAACATAACGCATGCAACGCACAACACCCACAGCCATATTGTTTTTTTGTTTTTTTTATATATATTATCATTCTCTCTCTCACTTTCGCACACAGACGATGGCAGCGTTAAAACGATGAGTTGAAAACGTAGATGGATTAGCAGTGCAAAGGGAGACAAGGGGCATGCATGATTCATAACTGTAACTGCAGGAGTGTGGCTTTTAAAGTGGGGTTGTATGGGAGGCCCGTGTGGTTAGATGGTCCGCTGTTTCTATTATATGACAATTAGCCTGGCCACCGCTCGTAAAGAGGAGTAAGCGAGCTCAGATGCAAATAACAACAAAAATAAAATAAAATAAACAGCTAAATCAGTTTTATGTACTCCCATTTATTTTTTATTAATGGGAAAAAATGACAAAATCTGCATGACCTGTTGAATCTTAGCATTATCTATTAAAAAAACTCACATGTTTAAAATACTAAAGCTTAATTTAAATCTTCAACTTATCTAGTAGAGGTTCCGCCACTTGCTTGTCTCCATGGTGATGTTATAAAATGTCTCACAATATTGCATTAAACTCATTTATCTCCTCAGAGTCCTGCACAGGTCCATTTTTGGAGTCCCGCACCCGCCCGTTAACTCGTGATTATATTAAAGTTAATTCCGCACCCGCCCGGACCCGTTAACATTCCACCCGTTACGAGCCCGTGCTAAATCGAGGGCAGCCCAATAGTCCAGGACTAAACCAGGACTGAACCTACGCCGTGTCATTTGCAGATTATAAATATATACGCGCCGCAACTGCTGAGCCGATGGGTAGGACTACACCAGGACTGGACCAGGACTGAACCAGGACTGGACCAGGTCTAAACCAGGACTAAATCAGGACTGGACCAAGTCTAAAGCAGGACTACGCCAGGACTGGACTAGGACTAAACCAGGACTAAACCAGTGTCCTTAGCATAAATATATACACGCCGCAACCGCCGAACTAATCGCCAGGACTAAACCAGGACTGGACCAGGACTGAACCAGGACTGAACCAGGACTGAACCAGTTCTAAACCACGAATAAATCAGGACTGGACCAGGACTAAACCAGGACTGGACCAGGACTACACCAGGACTAAACCAGTGTCCTTAGCATGAATATATACACGCCACAACCGCCGAACCGATCGCCAGGGCTAAACCCGGACTGGACCAGGACTGAACCAGGACTGAACCAGGACTGGACCAGGACTGAATCAGGACTGGACCAAGACTGAACCAGGACTGAACCTGAACCAGGACTGGGCCAGGACTGAACCAGGACTGAACCAGGACTAAATCAGGACTGGACCAAGTCTAAACCAGGACTAAACCAGGACTGGACCAGAACTGAACCAGGACTAAACCAGGAGCGCAGCCACCGAGCCGATCACCTCCGCTGATAGTTTTATGTAATAAATACACTAATGTCACTCTTTCAATCTGGTCAGCCATCATTCCAGGAAAACACCGGTGAACGGCTCTTGTTTCCAGGGCAACGTCAAAATATTTTTCTTCCGTTCCTCGTTCATTTGCTTCTCCTGACTCCCGTGTGTAATCACTGCCCGCGCCGACACCCACCCGTGAAATTCCAGAACATTAAAACCCACCTGTTTCAGCAACTATTTGCTCAGTGCAGGACTCTGCCCTCAGGCCAAGTTACAGCTCAGATCTGTGGAGAGGCTACCCAGCCCACAGTAAGAATGAGTGTTTTTCATGGTATTTTTAGCTCAAAACATCTGTACTTTTATAAACGCTGGACAAACAGATCTCCAGACAAGCAGGTGGCGAACCCTCCACTAGAAATGTTACATAGTGTAGCTTTACTGCTTTTAAAAGACTTCATTTCAATTGTTTACATAATAAACATTTTAATTTTTATTTTTTATTTTTTATTTAATATATCTTAATAATCTGGACATTTTCATCACTGTTAAATTCTTATAACCAAGTTTGATATGAATCACTTTTAGATAAATAAAAAATAATAATAACTTTTTTTCTTTTCATTAGCATTGACTTAGCATGCTAAAATCAGTGGCTTTGCTAATTGTCATCTAAACTAACACGCTAACCATTCACACCCCACACAACTCCACTTTAACAAACACAAAAACAAACTTTCTAAATGTGCTGGGGTGGCAATAATAATAAAAAATAACAGTTAAGGTAGGATGTATTGTGTGTTTTTTCATGTGTTCGCTAATCTGTCTTTGCCCTTGCGCTAGTAGCATGACAGAAACAGGTGGCGCTATTAGCATGCTAACAGCGCTATGCCCTCAAGGACGATGTTAGCCGGGCCAAGTCTAACAAGCCCAGTTCAGTGGCTTCACCGCGGGGCACCACAGCTCTGACAGTCACCACATCTGCACA